CTTAAATAAAAAGCGTAATGGCGAACAAACCTATGGTTCTATGGTTAGGAGGACAATGACATCCCCTGCCCACTAAGGTTCAAGTCCTAGACTTGATGTTGATGCTGACATTTTTCTGGACTTATTCCAGGCCTTTCTCCGGTGTGCGTTTGGTGGGAGGAGATGTTATCGTCGACTACGAAGACGTATGTGATGACTTTGTCAATCTTAACATGACCAGCCTCTCGAAGGTGCTCATAGGGATAGTGTGCGCACGCGTTCGTAGAGATGAGTGTATGTGCATACTATGAGCGTCAAAAATAAAATAAAAATAACAAGCGTAATGGTCATTTTCCATCTGGACTCTAATTTTCATCTTATTGGGGTTTTAAGTTGGTGTTTACCAATTTTGTGTTTGCCTTTTTCTTTTCTTGTTATTATCTTTCGAATGTGCTCATAGGAATAGCGCGCGTGCATTACTATTTCACAACACTTTGAATTCGATTGATGAGGGTTTTGGAGGGAACATCAAGGATGAACTTCTACTGCGCCTACTGTAGCAGGTTGCTGCATCGCCACTTCCGGCCTCTGTTTCTCCCCGCCGCCACCATCAACGACGTGGGTGACCTCGGCGTTGTACACGTACATCCGGCACACGGCGAAGAAGACAAAGAGGTTGGCGCAGTTGAGGACCGCGAAGAAGGCGTAGTAGTGGTCCAGCCGGGAGGCGTTGAGGTTGTTCTGGATCCACCCTCCCTGCCCGTGCCGGCGCGTGACGCGCGATACCGTCGACAGCAGGAAGCTGCTGAGGAAGTTGCCGATGCCGAGGCTGGTCATGGAGTAGGAGGTGCCGAGGCTCTTCATGCCCTCGGGCGCCTGGTCGTAGAAGAACTCGATCTTGGCCACCTCCAGGAAGGCGTCGGCCACGCCCATGAGCACGAACTGCGGGAGCAGCACGAAGATGGAGAGCGGGACCGTCGTGCCCTTGCTCTCGAATATGCCGTTCTCCATCGCCACGCGCAGCCGGTGCCGCTCCGTCACCGACGCGATCACCATGATCACGATGTGGAAGACGAGCCCCACGCCCATGCGCTGGAGCAGCGAGATGCCGCGCGGGTTCTTGGTCAGCCGCCGCATGAAGGGCACGAAGAGGCAGTCGTAGAGCACCACGGAGACGAGCATGGAGATGGTCACGAACCCCTGCAGGCTGGCCGGCGGGATCTCGAAGTGGTGAAGGCGCCGCTCCAGCGTCGTGCCCTGCTTCACGAACAGCGTGTTGATCTGCGCCAGCATCGCGCTCGGGACGAACGTGATGAGTAGCACCGGCAGCATCTTGAGCATCTGCTTCGTCTCCTCCACCTGGGTCACCGTGCTCAACGACCACCGTGACGCGCTCCTACCCCCCTCGATCTTCACAGCCGCTTTGCTCAGCACCCTGCACCCCCAGCAATTAACTAATGAGACCACATATGCATAACAATCCGACGTACTGTAGTTGAGAACTTGAGATGGATGTATGGGCACCTGAAATTAGGCGTGTGCGGCAGCGGCGACGTCTTCTTTTTCTCGTACTGGTTGGGATCGTGCTCGTGCAGGCCGCGCGGGTCCACGGGCGCGGGGACGCGGCACTTGCGGACGGCAGCCACGATGACGCCGGCCATCTTGGCGAAGGAGCTCTCGGATGTCGGCTTGTGGCGGTAGAAGGGCGTCCCGGCGCTGAAGACGGCGATGGAGACGGCGAGGCCGGCGGTGGGGAGCGCGTAGCCGACGGTCCAGCCGATCTTGTCTTGGATGTAGACGAGGACGGTGTTGGCGAAGAGCGTGCCGAAGAAGATGCTGAACATCCACCAGTTGAAGAAGGAGAGCTTCTGCTTGCGCTCCCGCGGCTCGTGCTCGTCGAACTGGTCGGCGCCGATGGTGGAGATGTTGGGCTTGGTGCCGCCCGTGCCGACGGCGAGGATGTACAGGGCCAGGAAGAAGACGCCCAGCTGCACGCTCGTGGCCTTGTGGTCGCAGTTGGGGTCCGCCGTGCCGAGGCCGCATTTCGCCGGCTTCAGCGACGGCAGGGACACGGCCATGGTCAGCAGGATCATTCCCTGTGCAATCATCAGCGGAGGTGAGACTCACCCACCGGAAGAGCAGAAGGGTGGTGCGCACGGGACAAAGCGGCATGAAGAAAGAAGGACGGCGAGGACTTACGAGGAGGTATATGATGGAGGCGACCATGAAGGTGCGGTAGCGGCCGAGGTGGGCGTCGGCGATGTAGGCGCCGATGACGGGCGTCATCCAGATTGTGCCCACCCAGTTGGTGACGTTGTTGGCGGAGAGCACCGTGCCCTGGTGCAGCTCCGTCGTCAGGTATAGCACCAGGTTGGACGAGATGCCGTAGTAGGCCATCCGCTCGAACACCTCGTACACTGCACCGCACATTCAGGCAAAATTAAAACCAATCACTTTCCCTCTTTTTATTATTGGTACGCATGCACTTTCTTTCTTTCACCAAACCGTAACCATCGCACAGAAAAACATCATCGTGTCTTTTTGGTGTTGATGAAAGAAAAGGAAATCTTCCATTCGAAGTTCCACTCGGTTTCTATTTTCTCTCTCTTAATAATGAAAATCGGCAATTATTTTCTCTCTCTTAATAATCATTTCATTCGAAGTTCCACGTGGGACAACCCCTACAAGATGTTAGTCTCAAGGATGTGCTTCTCGCTCCGGTGTTTTTATTCTTTTGAAAGCATCTCGCTCGGGTGTTTCTTATTCTAGGAGCAGTCCACTTGAGGTATATGGTGTGTGGTGCTGGCTTGTTGGGCATCTCCTGTTTGTGTTTGTCATGTTGCAAGTGTGGACGTGACTTTTTTTTTAAACAAGGCAAAAGATTTGCCATTTCATTGATTAAGGAAGAAGGTTTAGACAATGCCACATAGCGGCAAGAAAATAAAGAACTACTCTCGCGCCATTACAATACTCAAATGCTTGACGCCCGCCAAAGCCCAAAGAGACAACTCCTCTTTAATCCTGTTAATAAGGACCACCGAAGGAGAGGCCGTGTTGCGAAAGATTCTAGCATTGTGCTCCGACCAAATCTCCCAGGAGATGAGCATCATCAACGAAGCAAGCGCCTTGGGGGATTCGCTACGAATATGAATGTTCCCGGTCCACCATTGCTTCACCGAGCCCCTCGTCATCCAAGCAGCGGTATTGATGTGATGCATGCCAAGCCACTGGAGGATATCATTCCACACACGAAGGGTAAAACGACATTGGAACAGAAGGTGGGCCGCTGATTCCTGACTTTGCTTGCAAAGTGGGCAAAGACCGCAATTGGGCCATCCACGACGAAGAAGGCGATCTGAAGTCCAAATCCTATTTTGAAGAGCAAGCCAAGCGAAAAATTTGCACCTCGGAGGAGCCCACACCTTCCACACCGAATGGACCATGTCCGACGTAGTAAGGCCCTCAAATTGCGCCTTATAAGCCGAGGAGGAACAGTACAGACCGTCCTTGGTGAACTTCCAAATAATGAAATCCTCCATATCCTCAGCAAGTGTGACCTGAGCAACCTTTTTCCAAAGGTGGGCGAACTGTTGGACGTGGTCGAGGGTCAGGCCATTGGAAATGTCAATGTGAGAGATCCAAGTGTTGTTAGATAAAGCTTGCTGGACCGAGCAGTTTTTCTTTTTAGACAGAACAAAGATGTCAGGCGCAATGTCACGCGGGCGCAAACCATTCGGCCAAGAGGAGTTCCAGAATCTGGCAGTACGCTCATTGCCAACCGTGACTGTAGTGGCAGCCGCAAACAAATCTCTGTCCTCGTCCGTACAAGGCGTATCCATACCAATCCATGGTTTTGTGGGCGCTTTCTATTCAAACCAGAGCCACCGGAACCTAAGAGCCTTGGAAAATTTGCCCAAATTGAGCACACCCAGGCCACCATGTTTCAAGAGGGCCTTGGAAATTTTGCCCAAATTGAGCACATCCATGGTTTTGTGGACGTGGCTTTGTATGCGTGGTGATTTCAAGAGGGCTTCGCGTTGCTTGTATAAGTTTTCGCTCGGTTTTTCATAATTAACTGGGCAACTATCTTCTTCTTAATAATGCTAAAAGAAAAATCGGCAGTGCACCTGCCTTGCCCGTCAAAAAATAGCTCATGGTGTGAAGCAGCTTCAGAAACAAAACAAAAGAAAATGGGCTGTTCTCAGATGTAACCTCCGAAAGGGACCACAACACTTGTAATCATCCGGCCAGTTTTGGCCGATATGAACCGGAAGCAGCAGGGAGTATGCTGCGAGCTTATCGTTCTTACCATGAGCAATTAAATATATACAGATCGGCTGGACTCATTCGTCCTCTCAGAAAATCACAAGTGGGTTCGTTCGTGACCGTTGGTTAGTATACATGGTTAATTCCAAAACCTATGTTCCACTCGCAGCAGACAAGCCGGCTATGGTTAACAAGGCAGCAATTCAAGTGAGTGTAACTACCCACCGGTGATAGAGTAAAATTGTCCTATGGAAACGAACATGAGCTAAACAAATACTGCTAAGTGCTAATACTCATGCTTTTTTGCTCTGCAAACTCTGGTTTGGTCTATGGCAAAAACAAATCGTTGCTTCAGTCGTGGGCCTAAACACATTGCTGCCTACTGTTTATGATGACAAAATCATGAACTAAACAGCTCAAAAAGAAATCATGAACTAAACAAATACTACTACTGGTAATATCCTAAACTAGCTTGTATCGCAGCGTCCTAGGACTCTACGAATATTAATTTATGCACGGCGCTCTTTCATTGCCTCCTTCGTTTTGTTACAGCCGCCGGTCTATAGCCATCTATCTCGAGCAAATTTATTGTGATTAGGTTTGTCTTGCTTGTCAATTCACGCAAGTAGTACATCCATTACTGCAGACGGCGTACGTCCACAGAGCACGTGGGCGGGATAGTGCCACACCGGGGAAGCAGGACACGGACACTCAAAATCGAGGGACGGATGGCTCCGAGTTCATGTATCCCTGCCGCTGCTTATTCTTTGGACGAGTGCACACAGCATGCACGTATTTTAACTTTTTTCTTTTGAGAAATCTTTAACGCTCCTATGCCCGCAGCGCAGTTCCTGTGATACGGGGATCGTTTCTTGTCTGAATATAAAGCAGGATGGCAGGTTCCTGCAGGTCGTCAGAAAAGATCGCCAGTCCGATCCTAACATGAACCAAACCATTTCATGATCCCGTTGACCATGCCATATCTATGCATGTGCCCAGCAGAGAAAAATAAATTCGATCGTACACACGTACAGTATTGTTCAATCAACAACTAACATGAGCCTCCATCGCCAAAAATAAATAAATAAACAATGAGCGTGAGCCTATGGGCCTAACAAAGATCGTTATTTTGTTTTTATTTTGTTTCAAGAAAGAAAAGAAAGACGCAGACGCCTATGGAGGAGAACCCCTGGCTACGAGGCCGGAGACAGAGAGAAGCAGCTGAACTGAAGCAAGCCGGAGAAGCGCCGGAGGTGGAGCAGATGATTTCGCCGGCTAGCTAGCTAATTGGTGAGTGGTAAAGTAGAGTAATTACCTACGACGAAGGCGCAGGCTCTCCAGCCTCCTCGCTTTGAGCGGAGGATGGGGTTGCCGTGGAGGTCTGTGGTGCCGTCCTGCGTGTACTCGCCGTCGCTGCCGCCGGCCTCCAGCCGGGTCGTCCCCGCCATGGACGCTCCCTGTCTGTCTGTGGACTATGGAGGGAGGGAGGGCACTGCTAGTTCTCCGGGTGCCTGCGTGAGCTGAGCTCCTGTGTACTTGTCCATTTATAAGCCCGGTCTTGGCGGGCAGCGACTTGGCAAGTGGCGGGTTGGACTGCGGGGAGTGCCAAAAATGTCTGGACAGCGGGGTTTTGGACATCGCAACCAGAAACTAAAAAGAACCAGTTGAAAATAAAAGAAACTAAAAAGAAAGCACGCCATTCGGTGGGCTCCCAAGGGCGCCAGTACTACGTACCTGATTGCGTACTCAACATAGTATTTTCTTGGACGACATGTTTTATGGTTCTTTTCAGAAAATCTTGGACGACTTGATACCTCCACACTTGGAGAGGTGGCTAAGTTAATCAGAGTTGGTGGCCTTGCAATTATGCGCATTTACCATTGCACCCTAGACGATTCACTTGCTGCAGAATACTTGTTGTGTTCCCACCTCGTTGAGGTTTCCAAAAGAGTGTGAACTCCGCCGCCGGAACCGGAAGGGTTGGTGATGGTAAATGTTGACGCTGCTTTCCTTTTCGACACTGGGTAAATGGGTGCAGGTGTCGTGATTCGTGATCATCATAGGGAGTGTGTGGCCGCCAGCAGATGTTCCTTTGATAAAGTACCTGAACCTGAGTTGACGGAGGCCACTGCTATGCGTTAGGCTGGTCACAATGGAGAGGAACTGTTGGGGAACGTAGCAGAAATTCAAAATTTTCCTATGTGTCACCAAGATCTATCTATGGAGAAACTAGCAAGGAGGAAAGGAGAGTGCATCTACATACTCTTGTAGATCGCTAAGCGGAAGCGTTCAAGAGAACGGGGTTGAAGGAGTCGTACTCGTCGTGATCCAAAACACCGGAGATCCTATTGCCGAACGGACGGCACCTCCGCGTTCAACACACGTACAACCCGGTGACGTCTCCCACGCCTTGATCCAGCAAGGAGAGAGGAAAAGGTTGAGGAAGACTCCGTCCAGCAGCAGCACAACGGCGTGGTGGTGGTGGAGGAGCGTGGCAATCCTGCAGGGCTTCGCCAAGCACCGCGGAAGAGGAGGAGGAGGAAGAGAGGCAGGGCTGCACCAAGAGGGAGAGGTTCTCATGTGTTGGCAGCCCCAAAACCTCAAGTATATATAGGGGGGAAGGGGGCTGCGCCCCCTTTAGGGTTTCCCACCCCAAGGGGTGCGGCCAGCCCTAGATGGGACTTGGAGGGGGCGGCCAAGAGGGGGAGAGAGGGGGCGCGCCCTAGGGTGGGCCTATAGGCCCATCTGCGCCTAGGGTTTCCCCTCTCCCCTCCTAGCTGCGCCTTGGGCAAGGGTGGAAGGCGCACCAGCCCACTCTGGGGCTGGTCCCTTTCCACTCTAGGCCCATGCAAGACTCCGGGGCCGGTGGCCCCACTTGGTGGACCCCGGGACCCTCCCGGTGGTCCCGGTACGTTACCGATAAAACCTGAAACTTTTCCGGTGACCAAAACAGGACTTCCCATATATAAATCTTTACCTCCGGACCATTCCGGAACTCCTCGTGACGTCCGGGATCTCATCTGGGACTCCGAACAACATTCGGTTACCACATACAAGCTTCCTTTATAACCCTAGCGTCATCGAACCTTAAGTGTGTAGACCCTACGGGTTCGGGAGACAAACAGACATGACCGAGACGTTCTCCGGTCAATAACCAACAGCGGGATCTGGATACCCATGTTGGCTCCCACATGCTCCACGATGATCTCATCGGATGAACCACGATGTCAAGGACTTAATCAATCCCGTATACAATTCCCTTTGTCTAGCGGTATTGTACTTGCCCGAGATTCGATCGTCGGTATCCCGATACCTTGTTCAATCTCGTTTCCGGCAAGTCTCTTTACTCGTTCCGTAACACATCATCCCGTGATCAACCCCTTGGTCACATTGTGCACATTATGATGATGTCCTACCGAGTGGGCCCAAAGATACCTCTCCGTTTACACGGAGTGACAAATCCCAGTCTCGATTCGTGCCAACCCAACAGACACTTTCGGAGATACCTGTAGTGCACCTTTATAGCCACCCAGTTACGTTGTGACGTTTGGTACACCCAAAGCATTCCTACGGTATCCGGGAGTTGCACAATCTCATGGTCTAAGGAAAAGATACTTGACATTAGAAAAGCTTTAGCATACGAACTACACGATCTTTGTGCTAGGCTTAGGATTGGGTCTTGTCCATCACATCATTCTCCTAATGATGTGATCCCGTTATCAACGACATCCAATGTCCATGGTCAGGAAACCGTAACCATCTATTGATCAACAAGCTAGTCAACTAGAGGCTTACTAGGGACATGGTGTTGTCTATGTACCCACACATGTATCTGAGTTTCCTATCAATACAATTATAGCATGGATAATAAACGATTATCATGAACAAGGAAATATAATAATAACTAATTTATTATTGCCTCTAGGGCATATTTCCAACAGTCTCCCACTTGCACTAGAGTCAATAATCTAGTTCACATCGTCATGTGATTAACGCTGATAGGTCACATCGCCATGTGACCAACATCCAAAGAGTTTACTAGTGTCTGTAAACTAGTTCACATCATCATGTGATTAAGACTCAATGAGTTCTGGGTTTGATCATGTTGCTTGTGAGAGAGGTTTTAGTCAACGGGTCTGAACCTTTCAGATCCGTGTGTGCTTTACAAATCTCTATGTCATCTCCTAGATGCAGCTACCACGTTCTAGTTGGAGCTATTCCAAATAACTGTTCTACTTGGAGCTATTCTAAATTGTTGCTCCATTATATGTATCTGGTATCTCTACTCAGAGCTATCCGGATAGGTGTTAAGCTTGCATCGACGTAACCCTTTACGACGAACTCTTTTACCACCTCCATAATCGAGAAAATTCCTTAGTCCACTAGTTACTAAGGATAACTTTGACCACTGTCCTGATGATCCACTCCTTGATCACCTTTGTACTCTCTTGCTAGACATGTGGCAAGGCACACATCAGGTGCGGTACTTAGCATAGCATACTGTAGAGCCTACGTCTAAAGCATAGGGGACGACCTTCGTCCTTTCTCTCTTTTCTACCGAGGTCGAGCTTTAAGTCTTAACTTTGTACCTTACAACTCAGGCAAGAACTTCTTCTTTGACTGATCCATCTTGAACACCTTCAAGATCATGTCAAGGTATGTGCTCATTTGAAAGTATTATTAAGCATTTTGATCTATCCTTATAGATCTTGATGCTCAATGTTCAAGTAGCTTAATCCAGGTTTTCTATTGAAAAACACCTTTCAAATAACCCTCTATGCTTTCTAGAAAATCATTTCTGATCATCAACATGTTAACAACATATACTCATCAGAAATTCTATAGTGCTCCCACTCATTTCTTTGGAAATACAAGTTTCTCATAATCTTTGTATAAACCCAAAATCTTTGATCATCTTATCAAAGTGCACATTCCAACTCCGAGATGCTTACTCCAGTCCATGGAAGGATCGCTAGAGCTAGCATACCTTTTAGCATCCTTAGGATCGACAAAACCTTTCTGATTGTATTACATACAACCTTTCCTTACGAAAACTGGTAAGGAAACTCGTTTTGACATCCATCTGCCAGATTTCATAAATGCAGCTAATGCTAACATGAATCCGACGGACTTAAGCATCGCTACGGATGAGAAAATCTCATCGTAGTCAACTCCTTGAACTTGTGAAAAAACTCTTTGCCACAAGTCAAGCTTCATAGACGGTGACATTACCGTCCACGTCCGTCTTCTTCTTAAAGATCCATTTATCTTAATGGCTTGCCGATCATTGGGCAAGTCCACCAAAGTCCATGCTTTGTTCTGATACATGGATCCTATCTCGGATTTCATGGTTTCTTAACCATTTGTCGGAATTTTGGCCCACCATCGCTTCTCCATAGCTTGTAGGTTCATTGTTGTCTAGCAACATGACCTTCAAGACAGGATTACTGTACCACTCTGAAGTAGTACGTATCCTTGTCACCCTACGAGGTACGGCAGTGACTTGATCCGAAACTTCATGATCACTATCATAAGCTTCTACTTCAATTGGTGTAGGTGCCACATGAACAACTTCGTGTGCCCTGATACACACTGGTTGAAGTGACGGTTCAATAACCACATCAAGTCTCCACCATCCTCCCACTCAACTTTTCGAGAGAAACCTTTCCTCGAGAAAGGACCCGATTCAAGAAACAATCCATATTGCTTTCGGATCTGAATTAGGAGGTATACCCAACTGTTTTGGGTGTCCTATGAAGATGCATTTTATCCGCTTTGGGTTCGAGCTTATCAACATAAAACTTTTTCACATAAGCGTCGCAGCCCCAAACCTTTAAGAAATGACAGCATATGTTTCTCTAAACCGGTGTCATCTCAACGGAATTACGTGGTACCCTATTAAAGTGAGTGCGGGTGTCTCTAATGCCTAACCCATGAACGATAGTGGTAATTCGATAAGAGACATCATGGTACCCACCATATCCAATAGGGTGCAACTATGATGTTCGGACACACCATCACACTATGGTGTTCCAGGCGGTATTGTAAAACAATTTCCACAATGTCTTAATTGCGTGCCAAAACTCGTAACTCAGATATTCATCTCTATGGTCATATCATAGACATTTTATCCTCTTGTCACAATGATCTTCTACTTCACTCTGAAATTACTTGAACCATTCAATAATTCAGACTTGTGTTTTATCAAGTAAATATTCTCAACATCTACTCAAATCATCTGTGAAGTAAGAACATAACGATATTCACTGCATGCCTCAGCACTCATTGGACTGCACACATCAAAATGTGTTACTTCCAACAAGTTGCTATCTTGTTCCATCTTACTGAAAACGAGGCTTTTCAGTCATCTTGCCCATGTGGTATGATTTGCATATCTCAAGTGATTCAAAAACAAGTGAGTCCAAACGATCCATCTGCATGGAGTTTC